GATAGATAGATAGATAGATAGATAGATAGATAGATAGATAGATAGATCGATCAGTGAGTGGGTGGGTGGTTAGGTGGGTAGGTAGGTAGGTAGGTAGGTAGGTAGGTAGGTAGATAGATAGATAGATAGATAGATAGATGATAGATAGATAGATAGATAGATAGATAGATGATAGACAGACAGACAGACAGACAGACAGACAGACCGTCTTTCTTAATATAAGGGCTTGAATTCCAGCTACAGCAAGACGCTATTCTAGCTCACCCATCTGGGATGTTCTTTTCTCAAGACAAGAGGCCACCCCTAAATTCAAGAATCGGCTTTCATGTTCTCCACCAGTTGTAACTTTGCCTTCTTAGCAACAGGGCTCTTCCTTGCCTTTGCCTTTACGTGGTTGAAACTAAACTAAAGTTGGAGCATGAATAGATACTATTTCCCAACGAAAGGCGGTAAATGGCAAAGGAAGCCAGGGGTGGCATGGCTTTTTATCTGAGCGATGTGCCTCTCTTGAGGTTGTTGGCTTTTTTAAACTATTAGCTAGCCCTGGGGACCAGTACCTGGTTGAGAAACCCAGCGGCCCAATTGTTCCGTTACAGCAAGGTTGGAGCTAACCTTCTCTTAAAAGTGTCTTTGTTTCTGCACATTTTAAATCCATTTTTCTCAGGGGTGACTGAATGGCCCGAGGGGGAGGGGGTTATCCACAAAGGGGTGGGGTTGGCTCCTCGGACCTTCACAGCTGGGCCATGGGCTCCTCACCCTCAGGTTTTGCTTAGTTTGTCACATGTTGGTGCCCTTTGCTACTCTTTCTCTTGGTTTATTAAATGTGTTTGGATAATAATGGAGATGCTGTGATTTCTTTTCCCAATAAAGATCCTGACATTTGGGAGGAAGGGGGAAAGTACCAGGCTAAAAAGCAGGAGGTCATGAGTTCAAGTTCCGCCTCAGCTATGAAAGTAACCTTTGGGCCAGTCACCAGGAGGAGATGGAGAGTTCAAGTCCCGCCTTAGACATGGAAGCCAATTGGGTGGCTTTGGGCCAATCACTCTCTCTCTCTCCGCCCAACCCACCTCACAGGGTTGTTGTCGTTGTGAGGAAAAATGGGAGGAGGAAGTTGCATTGGATGTTTGCCACTTTGGGTTATTTGTAAAAATAATAAAGGTGGGAAACTAACTAGCTAAATTAAATAAAATTAATGAATTAACTAAATAAATAGGCAATCTATATTTATTCTCAATAAATCTAATGGGTGACTCCACGAATTCACCAGGAGGAGAATTCAAGCTTACAAACATTTACAGTTGACAAGGCATCAGATACTAATGGAGAAATCCAAAGAAAAATATTTATTACCTAAATATAAGACATTGTTTTAAAAAAAGAATGACAGCGAGCAAAGATGTACCGACTGAATATCTCTTTCAGTATTAAAGCCCCTGTGTATTTTCTATACATAAAAGGCATGAGGGTTTTTTTTCCCCCGCTTTTGCGTGGTTTTTGTAATCCCGGTGGAATGTTTGTGCATTTTTATTGCAATCAGGTGCACTAATTGAGGGAAGAAATGTTTTTCACCTCAGTGGTTGGGTTCACACAATCTGTTAAGCTAGGTTAAACTAAGGCCAGCTTGTTTGTAGTTTAGTCATTGCCTTCACCTGTTATGGGCATCCCGCCCTCACGCTGACCTATAATACAGTTTGTCGCTGTGTTTGGTAAACTTAGGTTTAACGATAAATGTGTTGTGTGAACTCCCAGCCAGGAGATCTTATGCTTGTGAAACACCTTGGATCAATTTCTTTGAAAGAATTAAAATCTGAGTAAGAAAGACAAGGCTATTCAAAACTTCAATAGTCACTCAGCTCTTATTGAGATCCCGAGAGGCAGTCTTCAAGATATTATAGGTAATCCTTGACTTACAACCACCGTTGAGCCTGAAATTTCTGTTGCAAACTGAGACATTTGATAAGTGAATTTTGCCCCGTTTTATGACCTTTCTTGCCACAGTTGTTAAGGGAATCGTGCAGAGGTGGTATTCAGCAGGTTCTAGCCAGTTGTGGAGAACCAGTAGCGGACATTTTGAGTAGTTCGGAGAACCAGCAAATGCCACCTCTGACTGGCCCTGCCCCCATCTATTCTCTGCCTCCTGAGTCCCAGCT